TTWAWWRGSMMYTTTTTTACCCTATATAGATCTATTGCAGGCAATTCCAACTGTGATAAATTCCTACTAATAAACCAGTCATGGAGGTACTTTTGTCACAGGCACTGTGTCACCCTCCCATCTGTGCAACAACGTTTAAAGGCAGATTGAGGCCTCSCAGCTCAATGAAGTTCTGCACAACCCTTCAAAATGAAGCTAAATTATGATTGACAATTAATTCTGTGGTCTCAGCTAGGCACTAGAAGCAGATGCATTACCAATTTGGAATATTGCTGGTGTTTCAGCTCCTGAGCAAATGTTTACAGGCCACGAGAGTACATCTAACTCTCAGAACACCTATATTCCAATTAATTTGGCATTGTGCACACTCTGTTTGCAGTTCTGCTATTGTTTCCAAGTTACTCCAAACAGTTTTGTTTCAGGTATTCAGAGACTCAGTAACAGCAGGTTTTGCTCCATTAGACTGCCAAAGTGATAGARTAACAAATCAGAGCACAGCCTATATTGAGTATGTATTTTCAATAGCCAAAAGACAATCCTTTCAGACCTGTATTCTTGCAGGAAAGCTGTGTTCAATTCCACCACGGAGACCCCAGCTTGCAACTCTCTTTTTAGCCCTGAGGTTGTCCTGGTGCTTGCAAGCTGCCACAGACCTGTCCACTCACAGACTGCCAGCAACTGGAATTCCATCTCCGTAGTGGTGTCTCCACTACAAACATGATGGAGCCAGGGAAGAGTTAGGAGCTCGAAGAAAACGATGTATTTTTAATTCTGAATTATTTATCTGACAGTCAGGAACCCCTCTGTTGCTCATTTCCCTAGTGACTCTGCTGGTGGCACTGTCCAAAAGACTTGCTTCACTCTAAACCACTGGCACAAAGGTTTCCATTCAAGAATTTYAAGGATCAGAGAAGAGTAAAGGTTTCTTATTGTCACAGTTTCAATGCATTTCCGGTCCACAGTTATAAGGCATAACCTCTAAAGAATCAGAAATGCCTGTCTGTCTTACAGCCTTTCCACATTGCCTGTTCAGTTAGGATTTTTTTGTATTTTTCTCTATTCCACCCAAAAAAATTCTGTCTGGCTTTTATGAGTGGGCTTTGAAGAACAGATAGGAAGGCAAAGAATACAAAACTACATATTTTTTTTGTATTTCTTTTGCATTTGCTCAGCAAAACTGATTTTCCTCCCTGCCCAAAATAAAGGCAATTATAGCTGGGGTTCTCAAGAGCTCCTGGAATGAGAGGACAGGGAAGAGATGAAACCAATGCCTTTCTCACTTAGCCATGAACTGGGTCCACTGAACTACCTTTCCTGCTCCTCACACTCAGCACAGTTAATGAGGCTGTGCCAAGCAGGATGGACAGAAAGGGAAGATTTGAGTCTGAATGCTTTCGGATTTGTACTTTTTTCTGCAGTGCCACTTCAGGGTCAAATTAAGATACAGCAGGTTCTGCTGATGCTCATACAAATCCTCTCATTTTCAGTGCTAAAGGAGATAATTTCTCCCTTGCTGCAAGTCAATTAGCTTAATAACAGCTCTACTCACTGCAACTGGGGAGAGGTAAAAATTAGAAGAAAATAATACTTAGAACTGAAAGCATACAAAGATTACAATTATTTTAAGATCAATCAGACAAAGGGCCTAAAGCATTAACAGTCCTTCCTCTTCATCAGCACTGCTGTAACCATGTCAAGAGCACACAGCTGGCTACACATTAGTGTCATTGTTGGGYTGTCAACCATTTGAAGGCTTTCACCAAATTCCTCTCCACAGGGCATTTTCCCTTTTCTTTCCATCTGTAGACACAGTACTTTGCAAGGAAGTGCTTGTAAGCACAGGTAATGCAATTACTGTATTCTTTTATATTTGTTTTCCTTAGGGGCAGGAAGGGTACAGAAAAATTTARTGAACTGTTGGTTACCCTTAAACATTGATATCATAGGATAGAAAAGCTTCAGATCTGTATCTTCCATAGGTTAAAGGATCTATTAGGATTGGGTTATGTGTGCYTTCTGCAGGGTTAAACTGAGGCATTTTACCTTTTACTGACACTACTGAATAGAAGCCTAGGATACTGGTTYAGATCACATCTCTCTGTAAATAAACTACAGTCTTAGATTAAGAAAAATTGGGTTTACTAGATTACCTGCATTTTAGAATCAAAATACACCCTCCATCTAATAATCTGAAAGCGACATGAACTTTAGGAAAAAAGTCTAAATAACTGSTAGAAGGTAGATGAGATATACTCCAGTCCATGTTATTTTCAACTCAATTCCTTCCCCGGTGTATTAATGATTTGAAGAATAAGGAACATGGATACATCTATGCATTATCCCACTAACAGGAACAACAATGGGAAGGAATAAGAAAAACYCCAGTGACCTCATTCAGAACAAAATGTGCAGATCCAAAAATTCAGTTCAGCTATGTTCCATTTGGCTTGCTTGTTAGGGCTAATTACTTCCAGAGCAGTTCAGAAGTATTGATAGCCTCTTACAAGTATTGATAAGGAGATTTCCTAGCACAGCTGAGAAGCAATGACACAGCTGATGGCAGTGTCTATACTGACAGCTTCAAACATAGCTTAAAACCTAATGGCTCACTTCCTTCACCACTTACAAGACATATTTAGAAGACTGGTACAATTTCATTCTAAGAAACGCTGAAGAGAAATTTGTTCACTAATCCAAGAATTTCACTGGATATTGCAGAGAGAGATGAATCCGCAATCACTGAAGAKCCTAACAAGTTTATCAAGAACAACAGTTGCTAAAATTCAGGACAGTGGAATGAAAACCAGTAACAATGTGAGACAATAAACCAGAGAAGGAGATATGTCTGATTAGATAAGATACTCATTACTACACACTTCTACAATGYTTTCCTTGTAGCTTTGCTGCAGAATTCCCTGGCTAAATCAGTGCAAGTCACTCAACTTGCCTGTAAGTCAATTATTCRGCTGATAATGGGGGGGAAATAATTCCAGTACACCAATAATACAGGCTGCTGAAGCTTGCCTTTTCTTTTCTTGTGAAACATTTTGTGCAAGATCCTGATATAGCACCATCTCGCCCGAGGGCCGCTGCAGTCAGCAAGATCTTTAACAGGAGACAGACACACAAAATACCACTTGAAGAGAGGATAATAGCATTCTGTTAGTGCTTGGGCTCTTTTGCAGCTCGGTGGCACTTCAGAATTCGGGTGTCTTCTGAACACAGAGCCTCTCCTGTGAAYAGCTACAGCCAAACCACTGGGAAATTTGGGCTTCATTCTCAGGGGCACTTATTTCAGTGTAGGGTACTCAGTTTCTGAACTCTTAACCTYAAAAACTACATTCCCTTCCATATCAAATATACTGAACAAATTTGTGAAGATTAACATTCACACTCACATTTTCCAGGTTTGGAATCTATTTATGTACTCATTATCGAGAATATTGTTTAGCTGACATTGTAATGATTCATGGGTAGTGTTTTCTCCTTTTAGTTTTGTTTGTATTAATGAAAAATAACATTTGGAAAAAGCCTCATAATAGAATTTTTGCATCTCTCAAAAGCTGGGTGTTTCACATAGTAAAATCTGAGCAATTTTAATGAAAACATAGGAAAGCTCATGAAACCCAAAATGCCACTCTGTAATTAGACATTCTCCTAAAGCTACTTAGTCTTCATTTTAATGTCTATTTTTTTTCCCAACTCTGACTTGCAAATTTGGGCATAAATACATGCAAGACCTAAAACCCACAAAGGTACAAACCTTAATYTCTAAATTGACTACATGCCAGGCTAATACTCARRACTTGAGAAACCGTTTCTAAGCAGRTATTTAAAACCAAATGCATCRTCTTTTCAAAGGCACTCCTTAAAAAGAGTMTTGGGCAGATTTTGCCCTAATATCCATTTACAGTTACATTTAGAAAGCAYTGCATTTAACTTMTATTCTTTTAGCCTGTATTGTATTGGGGATATCATAATTTTCAGAAGGAGATGATCACACAGTCTACATAGCAATGCATGAATCAAAGACCTAATTGCAATATATAAAAAGCCAGTACAGTACTCACATTCCACGAGGTCAGAAAGGCATGATCAAACTTCCATGATGAATATCAAAAATCATTAATGTTTCACTGCTTTTCTKGTTATTCTCCTCCATTCTCTTAGCTGTTTTCATTTAAAAGGCTTATGCCTCGAGCACTCATATTCAATTTTACTGTTTCCCTACTGTTGTAAAATAGGTTTGGGCTGTTGTGGCTGTATTTCAATGTGGAATATATTTTGTCCTGACTCAAAATATTGTTCCAGTGCGCTCCTCTAAGTCTAATTTGSTACTCTAATAACTTCTAGTCAAAATCCACATATTGCCAAAGCACTGCTGTGGTACCAACACCTTCCCCATCCAATGAATTTTCCAGGTCTCAGCTCTATTAACATGGCAGTTAGAACTAGATGGTCGTGAAGGTCCCTTCCACACCATTGTATGACTGATTCCACCCTGTGCCTGAAATGATTCACATCATCAAAGCCAGGACTGCAACTACTGCCACTCTCTAGAAGAACCTCACATGTGCTAAGGAAGTGAAGTTTTTACCTCCTGATTCTGCTATATAAACATGAAAAAGGGGAACAAAACACAGKAACTGCTCTCAAAGAGTCAAAATTATAGCCCTAAAGAATCTGAGGCTTGAAAATTAGACCAGCACATAAATTGCTGAAGTAGCTTACAGAAACTGTTTCCTTTTGAACAGCATCAAACCGTGGAAGACTAAAAAAGGGCACAAAATATTTAGGCTATTATTCCAAAACATTTGAGCGGAAACATGTTTTGTTCCCTTTGGCATTGCCAGTGACTACATTTCTATAAACCAGCAGATTTTTATTTATATGTTTGATTTGGAGCCCAAAYGAAAACCTCACCTAAAAGCTTGTTTGAAAGGTCAGTTTTGAAGCAGCTGACCTAATCCCTTGCCATTTTGAAGTACTATGCTGCTCTCCTGTCAGTGTTCTGTAGCTTCATCACCTCACTTGTTGTTTATCTCCCATTAAAGATAAATGAAAGGTTAAGCAGATGTGGCTCATTTACTCAGATCTTTTCTTTGAACTCTGTGGTTCTTTTACTTGGATCTTTTCTTTGAAGCTGCTATGAAAGAGCAACTGAAATTCCTCAAAACTGATTGCAGCCCAAGTGTTCCTTGCTTGCAGCCTTCTCAGCTCAATAAATGCTCCCAACACTCTGCATCACGACTTTGGCAGAGCAGAAAAATGGACTTTACCTGAGATATTCGTAGCAGTTCTTTACATTTAAATTCTTCTAGAAATGAAATCTCAATGGTCTTATTTCATGCAAAAAGTAAAGGACAAGACAGGCTGGCAATTCTGCTTTACTAACACAACAGTTTCAAAAAAAAGGTAGAGATTGTTTTGTACAACTAATAGAACATTTATCAGATCTTAATTGAATTAAGTGAAAAAGCAGAGGAGCTCATTGTGAGTAATCATTACTGTTTGAGAGACCCAGCTGATCTGCCTTGGAACCTTCAGCAACTTTTCCTTTAATAAATGAAACATTTCAAAATTCCACTGTACTTACTGGATTGAGAACCACTGTGAAGAACAGCTCTCCTCCTTGAATACTTTTGTCTAGTTCCTTTGGACCTCCAGGATACTCTTTATAGAAAATGGTGTGGGTGAATAAGCCACAAGTTTGCCTAGGAAGCACCTGAATTTGTGAAAAAAAATCAAAAAAATTCAAGAGTTTATACTTCTAACAAGATAATGAAAGTCAGAGGAGAACATATAACTGATAATCRTTGGGTATATTTGGCATCTCAATTTTTCTAGAAATCAACAGTAATTGAATTATTATCACTAAAATCACTACATCCAAAAAGTCATCAGATTTTGTTTGAAACTGGGGACTGATCTCAATCACCAAATTAAAATTCTGCAACCTCCTCAAACTCATTCTATCCATAACACCTCATCCTAAACCCCACTATTTGAAGTCTAAAGTTTTAATACAATGTGAAAGATAATCTAAAATATTATCAGTCTGTATCRTATCAATCAGTTCCACTTTTATCTGATGGATGGCTTTCTTTTAAATTTAAACTGTAATTGGAAAGKCAAATTGGGTTTTTTTTGGCCTAGGCATCACCACCAATAATAATTCTACACTGACACATGTGGAATTTTGCCAGTAAGGCTCGCCTTAAAAAAGAAAGATTTACTTCTCATTCAACTGTACTTTTTTTTTTAACACAGGTTAAAGTAAGTAGTACAAGAAAAAAATATTGTAAAAAGAATTCCAAGAATAAATCTTTTGAATATGTACAACTAATAAATGCAGTAATGTTTTTCATCAGAAATTCAAAATATTTTCTATTGGATTCAGAAAGTAATTTGATGGAGACTATTTGAATTATGTCTATTCCTTATGGAAAATCAACAGCTGAGTATGGATRTTCATGTATAATGCTTAAACTGGGATTCTTATGACAGATTAACTTTTAAAGTATACAAATGCCTTATTTGACACAGGCTGTGGTTTTGTAGATACTCTTTCTTGCAGTTTCATTTCTCAAAGTTTTTTTGTGATGTAGAGAATATTGTGATCACAGATAGTAAATTCTGTGCTGTCAGAAAACGTATGGAATTTGTACATCTGCTATAAACTTGCCTATGTTTTTAAAAAACCTTTGGATTTCATTGATGGAACAGGAGAACAACTCTTCACAGAAGCAGGGAATGAAGCTGTACTGAATGGGAGATGCGCTGGCAAATCTTACCCAACAATGTTCTTACTGAGTGTATTCATTACTATTASCCTGGAGATGTAAAATACTGATGCATTTGCCCTGGAGAACTGTAAGCTTGAGACTCCCTAAACAGGTGTTTGTATGACTGGGTTTGGAAATAGATTTTTGGCTGCACCATCCTTGTGTTAAATCTCTTYATGTATCCTCAAATGACATGTTTTTACAAATATTTATAGAAGAGATTTTTGGAGATTCTGAGTTAATCCACCTTCCCCAAATGCTCTGTGCTCCCTGAGCATATCCAAGAACCCATTATTTCACATACAGTGACTGCTTTAAGGAGAACAAACCACAGCTCAACCCTATACAGTGTCAATGGATTTCTGGAGATCATTTTCATTTGCTTCACCCAAAAATAGATCAAAACTTTAAAATATTACTATTTAGCTTAGGAAAGTGGTATCCATGGCAACCTGAGAACAATATCAGAATTCTGTTCTAAATGGCAGTGTTGTGCCAAGGCACTCGACCTCCCCAAAGTGCTTRTTGCAGCCAGAGGGACAGCACAGGGCACTCATTCACTGCTCTCCTACAGTCTCCAAAAGAAAGTTCCTTGGGAACATGCCACCAAGTATTTTGGAAAGCTGTTTTGAAACRCTTGTGAGATAATAATGACGAGATGTGAATCTGAAATAGCCTCCGCCCCAGTGACCAGATGGCAGCAGCACAACGCCTTCCGTGTCAGCTGTGTACGAGCCCTTCCTCCTGGCAAACACGGCTGTGAATGATGTAATTCAGGAAAACTGGGGGATTTGAGAGCACTTCAGCAGCCTGGAGGTGGTGTGGGGGCTGCCTTCCCTCCCTGCAGGCTCCTTAGGTTAAGGCAGGGTGCAAAGCACAGTTCACATCTGTGTGTGGCAGGAAGCCAAACAACAGCAACCGTGCACAGTTCATAGGGAAGACAAAAGTCTGCACCCACTGAGATYCAGATTCTGTGATGGCATAACCTGACAATATTCTTTTGCAGTTAATGGTACTATGCAAATTAAAAACCTGACAGAAATCTAACCCAGCATATTGTGTTAAATGATGCAAAATTGACTTTTTCCTTGAGCTCCATGAACCAGCATTAACAGTAGGACTAGAACAGTCAACAGCCTGTTAACTGCTGACAGCAGGGTGCCTGGATGCCACCTTCATCAGCAGAAACATCACCAGCACCAGACTGATTTTAATTAACAAGAAACTGTCAAATATATCTTGCTACTTATGCATAGCAATACGTGCTTCTCACAATGTGAACTTTCAGGATACCCCGCTCTTCCGCTTAAAAAGAAATTGTTCATGAAATGGTAGAATACAAAATCATCAGCAATACAACTCACCATGATGTTTTTGTGGATGAAGCCTCGCCTGTACCTTGCAGGTTTCAGATGTGGGTATTCTTCTGTGCTGGTAACTCTGATGTTCCAGACCTTTTTCCAGGCCTCATAAAGTTGAACGTGTACTGGATAGACTCCTGAGTGGTGTGGAGCCACTGCATAGCCCAAGTCAGTTGGAATCCCATGTTCCTGAAACATAACAGAACAATGGCTGCCCTCAAAAATTGAAGAAACTTRATGTTCTGACATTTCTCAAATGCTTTGTTTGCAAAAGACCGAGAACACATCTGAAATGCAAGGAACAGTAATATTAAAACAGGCTGATCTGGAAGGAGATAGAAGGCACGGTGAAGATGAAACAAAGGATTTTAAGACAAAAGCCTTTTACTAAATATTTCTATGAGTACGTAGTGAAGAAGGATATAAATGTATTTTATGTTGGTTTCTGCAATCTACATTAAACAGAAAGCTGCACTCTTTCAAGTTCTTGCAAGGAATTTGCTCAAAAACTCCAATTTCAGAGAGAAAAATCACTGGCACATACTCAACACAACACRTAGCATTTGGCAGCTACAACTATAAAACTGCAATTTCCACTACATGTCCCTCCACAATTACTTGGATAAGGAGCTGAATGTCAGTCACTGCTTTTCCCCTCTAGTCCATTCAAAACCCAAATCCATTTTCAAAAAGCAGCTTAACCATTTTAGTGTTGTATTAAAAATGGATGAAAGATAACCACTTGTAACAGTCTACAGGCAGATGTTGGAGAGTAAAGCCTTTTGCAGCACATTTCCTAGTTCTGAGGACTCCTGTTGTTTATCYTGTGTACATCCTGACCTTGCTGCTATTACATTCTCTCTCCATATTCAATCTTCCTCCAGGTTACTTTTCAAAGGAACAGTATATAGCAGATACTCCTTGACAGCCTGACCAGCAGAATGCACAGTCCCTGAGACAGCATTTTGCCATGACTTAGGAACACTGTCCTTGAACTGCCTTTGAATTCTGCCATAGTTTTTTATAYGGCTTGAATTGATATGGCCATCTTCACTCTATTTTCCAGTCATACTGTGTGTGCAAAATATTGGTTGATGTCCAGACATCTTCCTTTGAAGTCACTAAGGAACATGAAAATCTCTAGAAACCTGGGGGTGTTATTAGTAAAACCATTTACTGTGTGTAACAGACACAACTGGTTCAATCATAGTGGACAACCCTGGCTTTTCTATGTTTCAAAGAATGGTTCTTGTTAGCCTTCAAGAATTTATGGCAAAATAAATTCTTATAGGGCATCCTGTGTAATGTGCCAAACAGGAATAAGTAACAACTGCCCTCCTGGAGGTGAAATGTGTATATTTCATCAGTTACACAGCTTTACACTATATAATTACATCAYAGATTATCCAATTCTTCCTCCTTTTATCTTTCCTACTTCCCTTAAGCATGCATAAACATCAGAAAGGAAAACCTTCACAGAACACATAAGAAATTGCCTTCTCTAATGTCCCACTGAATCTTCTTCATTTATCTATAAACAAAAGTCTGATTTCTAAGATTTTTCCCCTCAAGTTTCAGAATAGGCAGTAATAAATATGTACTCTAAATCTTTCACTCTAATAATGGGCCTATAACCTTCAATGTATCATTGTGTCCATTACTRCTCAGTAACTGTAATTCCCAAGTTGAGCATCTCACACACAATACACACATTCAGTGGATAATGCATGAGGCATCAGCAATTTTGGCCTCTTTCAAAGGAGTGGATACTTCTCTCTGTTATTATTTTAAATGCTCTGAGCAAACAAAATATAGTGAGCAACTTCATGTCTGCATGTCAAAACAGGAAAAAAATTAATACGAAGTACAAGTAAGTATTAAGAGCATYGAAAGTAGTGAAGAAAATGGCATTTGCTGAAGTGACATCAAGCAGGGCTGAATATGCACTATCCTAATAACACACTTAATGATTACATCCAGCAGACTAATCCCAGAGGATGTCTTAGGTCACACTATAACTACAAGGACACAATTCATTTCCTGTGGAGTTTGCACCAGTACACAGAATCATATGAAAAGGGCAAGTCTGGTCACAAGATTTTTAAAACTTTCAGGAATCTAACTTCTACTGAAATGCTTTCTTAAAGGAAACATTGAAGTAGGGCTATCCTGTACTCGACAGAACTACAATTTACAGCAAACTTGGTGAAATCTTTCAAAAAAAGCATGTGTCTCACTTATAAGGCAAGTTTTCAAATACAAACTTTAACTGGATGATTGTCAGGTCTATCCTGTCCTTCTGTGCTCACTGACACATAACCATTACTCTCTTCTTTCTTCCAGTATTTCAAATCCCCTGCTCCTCCCAGGAMCAAAGTCATTACCTGCCAGCTAAAGAGCAACCAGCGAATTTTGAAAAGGCAGAAGTAAAATTAGTTCAGCAAACAAATTATGTTTGATACTTTGATATAGTACCTATTTAAGCCTTAACACCTCTTCAGACAAATAACATGTACTATGTATGGCAATTTTGTTTTGGTACATTGTACAAAATTAACTGTAATCTGTTTCTCTACAGAGAATTTATCTGTTTCTCTCTCAGACCTGAAATCTGGTTTTGTTTTTTCTTATATTCTCACTGAAATGTTTTGATTCAGAGCTTTGTCGTGAATAAATAATTAGCAAAGGCAGTGCTTTTCAAAACTTTTTCAAAAAAGTTTAGTTAAAGTTGATCCAAAGGGAATATATAAGATGTTATTGGCCATCCCTGCAGAAATGCATCTTTGAAAATGTGGCACACTTACCAAATCCTAACATGGATTCACAAAGTGGTTTTACAAAGTCATTTAACATGTTTTATGGAGTATTTACTCTCTCAGAAACCTGATTTTGTTTTTCTAATATAAACAGAGTAATAGTTGCACCTACATTAAATAGAAAATGAAAAATTTAAATGCAAACGTTAAATGCAAAAATACAACTCACTAAGGCAAATTTTTTGTTGAGGATCATCTGCTCCACCAGTGAGGACTCATTGTGGAAGAGGTGTGGCTGCATGTGACTCCACATGTGRGGAAACCACCAGAACTCATCCACAGATCTCAGCAGCAGGTCATCACCCTCATCCTCCTCCTCAGTCCCTGCAGAGGAAATAAAAAAAAATTTCCCAAAGTCGAGGTCTCCACTTTTATTATATTTTGACAAATTTTGGAAAATGTGAGAATGATATTAACATAATAAAGATGTGACCATTTAAAATCCTGCCTCCTAAGGCACTGGTGACAAAATGGGACAACCAGGACCATTTTGCTGGCTCACATCCTATTCAACACCCTCTCTTTTATTTCTCCCTATTTCTACAGTGGTTTAAGTASAAAATTATTTCAAAGTATAATATAAATTGCTGTATTTCTATGGCAGAGATGAAAAAATCACAAGGATGAACTGTGGTAACTCAACAGATCCCTCARTGAAATCAATAGAAAATTGATTTTCCCACTCATCAACAGGTTGAAAAGAACTAAATTTTAATAAAAGAGAGGAGATATTTAATCTGTTCCATACCAGCAACTAACACAGCAACACAGTGCCCTTAGACTATCATTCCTACTGTCCTCATACTATAAAGAACACCATCAAAATCGAAGTGATTTTAGTGTTTCATTCTTACCTGTGTGGTAAAACTTCCCTGAAAATCCCAGGTTGAAAGTAAAATTTGTAATCTGGGCTCTCAAAAGATTCTGAGTGTCAAGCAGGGCCTGAAAAAGAAACAACCCACCATATAAACATACCTGTAGAAAATACAACCTGGCACAGAAATTTAATACAACAATATAAATATTTTTACAGGTATATGTCCTTTCAATTGGTTTTGCTATTAAAAACCAGCTCCCCATGTAAGATAAAGCAGCACAGATATTTTTATCACCACATAAAGATTAAAGACTGCATGAAACCTCCATCATTTTCCTCATGAGGATGACCAGCTATTGAACAGTGGATTACTCCCTGAACCATGAGATAGCAAAGSAAAGGCACACACAGAGAAAAGACCTTCCCCTGGTCCCTCAGTAAACCTGGGACTGAGCCAGGAAGGATTTTCAGATCTCCTGTGCCCCCTCAGCACTGCCCCATTGAAAAGGGTGAAGAGCAACTGTTGATTACATTTCTCTACATCAGTTCAAGAACATCCACAGCATTTCAGTCATGGTTCAAATTCACAGGYAATGCATAAAGAAAAATCTAGGACAGAAAGAAGCCAGCTCAAACCTACTCCACAGAAAAGAACTGGATCCCAGACTCCCCCAAACTGACTCATTTCTCAGACAGTGAGCATACTGACTGTCAGCATCATGTACTTGCACTAAAGCAGTACAAACAAAAAACCAGCACGTAGGAAGAAGGGGAAAGCATTATTCATCAAATAAACCTTCACTTCTTTTATTTCAATATGCTCTTCTTGATTTGTTACTCCTAACATTTACATATTACATTCAGGAGTTATCTCCCAAACTCTTACACCCAGCTGTTGTTTTCTTGCTCAGTTTTTCAGGTGTAACAGACACCCAGCTTTCCAAACTTCGCAAAGCAAGCACAAAACAGATGAGAAAAGGTCATCAAAAAGTTTTGCAAGACAACATCCAGGATAGCACAATGATTTGAATAAAGTGGTTGAAAGCATTATTATTGTCAGAAAGGAGTAACTTGTTATGAAAGGGGAATGTATTTAAAAGCACAAAAATGATTAAAATGTCTGGAGATTTTCAAAGATTGAAAGGCCTAGTAGGCTCCCCACTTGTGAAATTCAATGACAACTTAGTGCCTTGAAAAATATGAGCCAGTAATTTTAATTAGTTTCTCTAGACATTTTCATTATATAAGTAAATTGCCTACTATTTTTTTAAACTGGTATGCCAGTAACAACAAAATAGCAGGAAGTCAAGTCCAGTTTAGTTATCAGGCATTGTGCACTCAAGTTACAATGCCCTAAAGTATGATCCGTTTTACAGATTGTGGCAATATCCATCTTCTCAGATCACACAAGCTCTTCAGGTCTTTCCCAGGGCTCACCTGGTAAAGTTCATCATCYTTCACTGCAAAGCCTGAAAACTGTCCTGTGAACCAGGGTCAGACTAAAGAAACGAGCAAAATGAAGCAGAGAATGGAGATAATTGAAAACAAGCTCCAGAATGATRAATATTAAGTGAAAAATCTTGCAATGCTGTAACGAGGGCTTTTGCACAGGCTGAAAGTGCAAAGATCTCCAAGGAGGCTTCTTGTTCCAATGAAAGAAAGCAAATCTGCACAGGATTTATATCAAAACGAACCCACAGCTGCTCAGAACATCCTGAATGAAATGATTTTATCACTGCATGATTAAAAGGGTAGGATGCAAATAATAGAGCTATTCCCTTTCTGCAGTAAGGCACACAGTGTGGAGGGGAGGGGATCCTAAGCACAGCCTGACAGCAGGGTGGCACCAAGGGGCTGCTCCCTTCTTTCCCTCAACATCAAGAGCTGGGAGCATTTCTGGAGCTGAAGGTTTTMCCCTGTACCTTTCTAACACCTTCCCAGCTTGTCACCTCCAGTCTGGTCTCAGCTGGATGAAAAACCCTTTTAAAGGCTTTTAAACAGGAGGAGGGAGAAAGGTGGCAAGAAGCCCATGACATTTCTGCTACAATGCAACACCAAACTGACCTCGTCCCTGGGAATTCATTTTGCCAGTGTGGTTCCCACCTTCTCCCTTTGTGTTGGGAATGTACCAGCTAATTCTAGGGTGTACCTGCTCCACCGGTGAAGAGGGATGGCACAGACCTGCTGTGAACCGCTCTGGGTACAGACAAGCTGAACTAACATTTGAGTTGTCGTGCCTATGATTATTTTCTGGGCGATGTGACATTTTACTCATCTTTCAGGTTCTAAAAACAAAATGTTAAAACTCATGAAAAATATATAGTAGCAGATGGCAGGGCCTATTACTGTGAGTTTCCATCAGAAAGACAGAAAGTGAGAAAAGTAGGGGACGAAAAGCTGGAAATTTCATTTCCTCATGCTGTTTTATAAGCTGAAGGTAAACTGTTGATATTTTCTGTGTATTTTATGATGGTTTATGAACAGCCACTCTGGGTATGAGATGTTACATACACTAATACTGAAAACTGTATTTTAAAACCATTTAGTCAAGCCTTCATATGTTTATAAATAATTACTTGGTACATGTTATATTCCTGCTGGTACTGTAAGGAAATAAATCATTGGCTGCATAAYCACTTCCACACGCATAACTCTAGTGAAGTACTTTCTTTTCAAGTTTTCCTAAGCTCATAGACTATGCTTAGGAAACTCCTTGTGCCAGAAATCAAATGTGAATATTCAATACATGATGAAAGACCCCTTTCTTCACAAATMGTAAAAATTCAGAAAAAGGCCCTGTGACAATCCAATGAATAGACAAAAGTTATTCTGACAGCGAAACACAGATTTTCTCATCTCACGAACAGGACAAACAAGAGGCATGGTCTAATGATATGTGCTGTCAAAAGCTTTTGGTCAAGTAAAGCTGAAAAGCCAAAGATAAAAAAAAGCCAAAGATGAAACTCTTGTCTCCAAACCTGCTTCCCACTTCCTTAGCCAGGAAGCCATTCTGCCTCTGGCACTCAAATATCTCAAAGTGATTTCACTTTAGTCTGCCACAGAGAAGCTACAAGTGCCAGCTTGTCTTCAGCAAACAGACAGTTGTAATTTCTTCAGCATCAACAAAAATATTCAGACCCAAATGCCTTTACTGATCAAAGGACTAAATCAAGACTGCCTTGTTGAACTCTGGTTCACCAAAGAGGAACGATGCCTTCTTTGTGCAGTCACACCAACACATTTATGACTATTTTCCTGCTCAAAAGCTGCTAAAGAACTCAAGCACTTGAAAAGAGAAATAGTTCAATAAGCTGTTAATTCTACTTGTAATCACGTACATTTCAACTAAATTGGCAAGCAGACAGACAGAGCCTCACAGTGCTCAGCATTARCATCTTACACTTCACATCAGTACATGCTTTCATGTCAGCAACAAAGGCAAGGGCAGCTTCGTCATTTTCCAAAAAGCCTTTTTCCTCCTCCTTTTTTTTGGGAAGCAGATCTCATCTCTCAACACTTGCTTGCTTAACTATTTTACTGTCTGACAATACCATCAAAGGAGCCATGAAATTAGGAATTATTTTGCTTTTGAGGAAAATTTCTAATATCATGTTGGCTCTTCAATAAAGGCAAGGACCTTCTGAAAAGGAAGGACAAATTAATAGAAAGCRCATTGTGAAAGCAACTGAGCTCAGSACAGCAAGYCCCTCATGGGAACTCTTATGCAGGGAGTAGCTTTAATTTTTCCATTTTGTATTTCCTCTTCAGTCAATCCCTGTGAGAGAGGGAAGAAACAGAATTAAAGCCATTTTAACTTCTGAGTGGAGTTCTTGGGGTAGAGAGATTTAATGAGCTGTAGCTGATGCAATGTCCTTTTACTCTGTGCTTTTGGGGACAYCACTTTGCCTTTCCACGCTCTAGGAGTGCTGCAGGAGAAGTTTCTGAGCAGGTTCACACACACCCCCTGCCTCCCTCGTGCAGAACCTGACCTCTGCTAAAGTTTCTATCCACAGGGCAAATTCAGCTAATAAGGAAAAAAAAATGAAGGGAGGGAGCAGTGGGGTTCCACAAGAAGTGTTGTAGCAATAGTGGGGTGGGGAGGAGGTGGGGAATGCTGAGATTAGCAGTCATTAGGGATGGAAAGGCACCCGATCTGGGGTGTTGGGAGGTGAATGTTCATCCCAAGTGTCTGGGAATTAGTATTTTGTTGCACTGACTATTTAGCTTCTGAGGRAAAATGATTCCTTCCTGATAAATTATGTATTTTGGAACATCATTAAAATGTAACATCTACTCTTTCTGGATTTCCAAGATCGGCAATGTGATACTCATTACCATAAACRTTTAATTTATGAAGGAAAAAGAATAATTGCTTTGGGTATAGGGGTGTACCTGAAAAAAATATTGTCAGTCCTTCAGACAAAAGGACAAGAAAGCCTAATTTGTCTTTGTGCACTCTCTTAGCAGAGCTGGCACTAAAGCGAAGGMAAGAGAAAAAACAAATAAAACCTTCAGCTTTCCCTGCAAAGTGTTTTGCTGACACAGAACAGGCAACCCAATTCTCCCTCAAAGTATTAAAAAAGTATCAGGCTGGAGCCCAGTTATGTGCACTCTAAGTTGTTCAGTGTCCAATAGAAGAAAAAGGTTCAGGAGTCACAACTTCATCWTATGTATCTAAAGTTGAGGTCCAGTAAAGATCCTAAAGATATAAAGAGCAACTTTAGACTAAAGTGTTGTTCAAATGACTTCAATCAAAAGCTTTTTTTATCAGAACACACTGTTTTAMATGTCCACAGGTCTTCCTTCAGAGYTGTTTTTTTATYGCATACAATAATGATCTTAATGATGGTGCAATTACTTATTTTCAAGTAATTAGGCTCTTTCATCTAGGTAAATCATTTGTACAACCAAGAGATTTAAGAACTATTTCTAACTTCCTTCACCAACTTCTCACTTCTTGGAGGCTGAGGTAGCAGCTAATGAGAATTGAGCTAATTATGGCAAGGTAACTTGAAGGTTACAAATACTTGGTGCCAATACTGTTTAATAAAGCAAAATAATTAGCATGCTGATTTCAGGGTTCTGCCCGAAATTCTGCATTATTAGCTCTTAATTAGACTGTACT